GCACATGCCCCCATTGCCTCCTGGTTTCGCGGCCCCTAGCAGTATGGTGTTTAAAGTAAACATAATTGGAAATTTTGATTTTCAGCATCGCACTGGTTTAGAATAAAAACAATTACGGTCAGGTCACGTGACTAAAAGTAATTATATTTATGCCATTTTAAAGTCCCTTTTAAAAGGCGAATAATCCACAAGAAACATATAAAGAGACGTGTTTACCGCATTGTCAGAATGCTAGGTTTCCACTGAGGAGTGAACAACTATTTAGGATGAGCAAGTCGAATTTAGTTTTTCAACTATTTGGAGGACTAATATCATATTTATCAATTTTACTCGATTCGAAAAGTTTTACTTAAAATTGCACAGCTGCGCTCAACTTTAGTGCCAAAATTCAAACACGAAATTCAACTGAAACAAACCATGCTTTTCATGCAATATTCGACTAGCTTTTAAAGATCGGCAAAAAATTATTCACAACTTCTATATATATATATATACATGCAGGTACCATTTTGAAAATTAATGTCAGAAGTTAAAATTATCACAAAGCGTACTGCTGCGCTCCGTTGAATAAGTTAAATAGAATGGCGTCATTCAATTGTACTAAAATTTCACTAAAATGATATTATAAGGAAATTACACGTGTCCTCTAAGTACTAGTTAAAACATCAGCAGCCCGATCTTTATCGTGCTTATAAAACGACCTATCTTATGAGTTATATGCATGAGTTCATTGACGAAGTAATTTTAAAAATAAACAGTGTCTAAGCCGGGAAAATCAAAGCTGAAGTTTATGTAAATCAGGTGACAAATCTTTAACCGATTTACAAACATTGATTAAATATTCATTGCTTTTGAATTTTCTTCATGAATTTGATTAAGCGGTAGTAATGAAAAACTACACTTGTGGTTACACCCCATTATGTGCTTTGAATTAACTATGAATACTGACTATACATTCTTCCCGCCTGAGGGCCTGTCCCCACTGGCGAAATTGTTCATCTCAGTTTCGAAAGCATGTGACAATTTTCATTACCTTTTAATTAAATATTATATGTCTTGCTATATATGTTTAAAATATTTTTGGATTGTTTATCAGCGGAGTTGTTAGTCAAAATCCATATACTGAAATCAGACGAAATGTCACTACAGCGGACTCTAAATCAATTTTCAGGGCGAGCACATAGAAAATTCAAATCAATCCCATTAACTGGAAATGAAAAACCTTGATGCAGATCTGAAACATTGACATATGGTCTGGAGAATAATTCATGAATCCGTAAACCGTCAACGGTGGTGTCTTCACAGACTAACACTGAGGAACCGCGAATCCGAAAAAGAAAACTGAAATTAGCGAAATCCGACGATCTGAAAAGATATTCACCTTTACAGTGTCTGTCAGCCCACCACTACACCGCTGCACTGAATTTGTAGCGGCAGATGTGATCACATCAGTGGCGTAGCCAGCTCGATAATTGGGGGGGGGGGCATATTCATATATTCGTGTTCACAGACCTTCAAAACGATCGATTTCAAAAGAAATTAATAATGCAGAACACGAATATATGTACATGCCTCCCCCCCCCCCCAATGGACCTAATATAACTAAAATTTAGATCTAGACAAAAATTTCATCACAGCTTGAAAGAGCATCACAAAATTAGTAATATTCCAAAGTTTCGTTGCGAAATGTTATAAAATGCGGGTAATATAACCTTGCGAAGTTTGCCAGTTTTTCAGTCATTTTGTATTACGCACGGGAAATTGACAGCCCAATCGGGTGTTGGGGCATCAATTTCCCGTTTATAATACAAAATTGCTGAAAAACAGCAAACTTCGCAGGGCTATATTATCCGCATTTTACAACATTTCGCAACGAAACTTCGGAATATTACTAATTTTGTGATGCTCTTTCACTGTGATGAAATTTTTGTCTAGACTTGTCTAGATCAAAATTTTAGTTGTAAGGGGAAAGGTCTATTATCGAGCTGGCTACTCCACTGGATCACATTTCTTCAGCGACCTTCTGGAAGCAATATTCCTCATTCATGCATGCATGACAGTCTACACAAATACCATTAACCTAAATGTTAACAGCATTTCGCTATGCACAATATGGAACTAATTTATTTCTTGTTTTTATTTTTCAGCGAAACATACAAAAGCCAAAAGGTTAATTTGATTAATTTTGCTATACGTTTCGGACATTTTAACTGATGTCCATCTTCAGGCGACAACTGTTGTTAAGTAAACATTAATGTTAACAACAGTTGTCGCCTGAAGACGGTCCGATTTAAAATGTCCGAAATGTAGCAAAATTAATCAAATTAACCTTTTGTATATATCCTTGAAAAATAAAAACAAGAAATAAATTATGAACAACTGAGGTGAAAGTTTTAAAAACAAGAATACGGAACTAGTTAGTTGAAACAGTTTTCATCTTAGAATAATATGACAATCTGTCCTGGAATCCATTCAAATTGACAGTCAAAATCAAAACAGTTGCACAGGTCAGATTCTAGTCAGATAGGGGTCGATGTTTGGGCTACATATATAGTCAGTCCTAGCTATCGAGAGTACACGTGGTATTTTGCAAGAGGTTGTGTCCGCTCCACATTTGGTAGCTCTGCCTCTTTACCTCTACAGAGCACAGTCATTTGATTAGATCATTTCATGTCAGTCGATGATGTAAAATATCGCAGCTGTTGCTAGTGTACATATATTGTAGTCCTTACGTGCCTTCTAATTGACCAGTCAGTAACTAGTTACAAGCTAAATTTGAAACTCACGCAACCTAGACATAGCTAGGTTGCACGATTTGCAACCTGCTAGCGGATTTAGAACCAAACGTTGTTCATTTTTTGCGACAAATCATTATTTGTCGAACGATTTATTAATGAAAATGCAATGTATAATAAAACAGTTATTGAATTCAGTTTCTGTGATATCCCGAATTATCATTATAAAGGTCTCGGAAAGTATTATCAATCTCGCCTTCAGCTCGACTGATAACACTTACCTCAACCTTGATAATTCTGCATGTATATCACAAAAACCTCATCAATAATTGTTTATTAATATTGAAATTTTGAATTTATGAAACAATTTTAAACTGATCTTTCCAAATCTTCACGAAATAGTTTTTAAATATGTTGTTGCTACAGCAGCTACCCAGGCATTTAATACCCGCTACAGCCAAAATTTAATCGATTTCGGTTTTAACTGCGTGCCGGCCTCGCCCTCAGGGCTATATAATCTTCATATTAAACTTTCATTTCAAGCATGCAGTATAAATAATCCAACAAACAAACCTAAGCACACGTGCAGACAGCAAATTGGACTAACAAAGAACAAAAATATATTAAAAAAAAGTTCAAACATACAGCTGTGGCCAGGACAATTAGCCTGAGTACAAGCAGAACTTCGACGTGTCGACTTTCGAGTGAAGGCGGACCTTTGCTCGAAACGTCAAAGTTGCACATATATATTTGACAGGTGGTTGCATATCCTTCACACCGCACAGACTGTTCGAGAAGTTCAAACATAACATGATACTGCTCGAACAGTTGAAAGCTGTGGATTGCTAGCAGAACTTCAAAAAATTCTGTATTTTTCAGGTATAGTTGTATCCCTATCAATTCGATAGTTATAGGCGATTAGGCGTAATATCAAGGTTGCAGCTTGCATGAGGAAATCATGATCATCCGTCGGATACATTTTCTACTTCACTTGTATACAGGTTCGAGAAGTTTCCCTCTGACGTAAGCCAGTAGAACTGTTTCTTTTGCACGTCGATATTTACTAAGTGCTTCAGAAAGACGAACGGAAACATCGACACAAAGAAACCCTTCTAAAGGCTCATTGAGTCATGCATAGTTCATACGTACACGCACGGAAAAGTTTAAATCCATTTAAATGCTACTTATGAAATAACTAAGTGAATAAAAGGACAGCATGTTGTTTAGCCACTTTAGTGATTTCATAAAATTTAGAAAGATTCAGTAACTGAACGTTTCCGTACGTATGAAAAATGCTTAACTGGAATGCAGTCTTAAAACGAATAAAAATAACAATGCATGAATAATTCAAAACGGTCACGAGATGGTCGTTTAACAAGAACAACGTACTAAAACAAAAACAAACACCAAACATCATTCTCTGACTCAAATCATAATTTTTCTTTGAGTGGAAAGCCCGCTACTACAGTATACCTAAACAGTATATAGCCACTGAATTCTGTAATTCACGATGCATGATGGGTAAAACCCAGAGGGTAAAACCATAGGCGTGCAAGATTTGGGGGCATGGGGGAGGGCGACTGCCACTACCTATCCCCCAAAGAAAACCAGAATTTCAGGAAAATGTTGGGAAAATGAAGAAAATTGGGGCAAATGTATCACAACACTAAGTCAAATTCAGGTAATTTCATTACAATAATCCACAAAAAATTCGGGCAAACGTTCTAGTGCCCCCCCCCCTCCCCGAAAAGAATCAGGCCCGTACGCTTATGGGGAACGGGACACATTCTGTATAGTTAAAGATTTTGTTTGGATTTCTTCATCCTCAAATTGCATCCCTTAATTTGTTCCTATTTTTATGCAATCAGTCATAAATTCTGCCTTCGATTCACGTCTTTCTACCTGCGACCCCCTCAAATCGATTTCAGTCATAAGTCTGATATATTATACAATATAGAAACCGACCATCAGCAATAAATGCTCGTCACTCATCGCTTCAATTGCATTACATCTCTGTAACTCATCTCATATTGGTATATGAATGGCCCAGTCCCAATTTCAAATTGGATATATGGTTATCTATAAAACTAGTCAAAATTGCGTCCTGTTGTACAATCCTCAAAATATATATGTTGCCTGAAATTTAATACGCAACACTCGTGTTATTATATATATTTCCACGGTTTTATCGCTATTTGATTAGATGATAAAGATGTTTATATATTATTACGCCAGCACAATATAATTCTTTATATTATATTACAACTTATATAAGAAGAAGAAACTTGATATATATGATAACTGGAATCAAGCACATATACTCCCATATATGTCGAAGATAGCAAAAGCGGTAAAGATAGAAAATAAAAGTTCCACAAATGATCAGTGTGAAAACAAGATCTTTTACAAACTAGCGGCCTCGTTGCCTGCTCGGCGTCTGACTGATCGCGTTCAAAGAGAGGCCGCGATAATATAAAATTTGCATGTTGCTTAGCGGGTTTGATGACACCTAGAAAACGATCAAATTATCTGTGTATTATTACGCTCCGCTGCATCAGAGATTACTGCTTGTCTTGGCGTTGTGTTGACACGGAGTTTCGTACGTTTTAGGGCAAGTGAAGTTGTATTCATATCCGCCTTCTACGTTCACCTTTATAGTCGTGGTTCCCGGCTACTTTACCTCTCAGCAATTTAGCTCTTGGATCGTATTACACAAGCAAACACATGCGGTGTTGATTGGCTCCTACTGCATAACTAAACAAAATATTCAGAAGCTCAGCCGGTCGTTGTCTTAGTTCGTCTTACTGGCAGGTAACTACAGTGTCCCAGCTACTGTCACACAAAGTACATAATTATTAGCCCTACTTCAATTGCAAGCTTTTATCAATTACTAACGAGTATGTATTCTTTGTTATTATGCTGTAGATAGGCGGCAAATAAATGGATGCGATATCGTTTGTGTAGTAAATGTGTCGTCGGGAAATGGACGAACAGAGAATACTGAGTTCAGACATGGACCTGTTGAGACGGGAGATAAGTCTGTCCAATGAGCAAGTCGAATTATGGCTTGACGAGAACCGACAATGGACTGAAGAGTATTTTCAACGTAAAGCGACCATAGAATTTGTCCTCGAATGGATTCATCTGAACGAAAACACTTGTAAAAAGCACGGTATTTACACAAAGAAGCCTGACGCTTGCATAGAAGACCTACTCAATAATAATAACAACAAGGATAAGGTTGAAGGCATTTCGTGTTCAAAAGACGAAGACATAGATGATGCAGGCGAGGTATTATCGCAATGCCAAGGGAGGTTTTCAAGGAGATACTCAGAGCCTGTTGCAAGCAGCAGGGATCTTCGAAAGGACTTCCGACTGAGGAGGAATCATTCATTGCAAAGTCAAATACATGCAACTATTCGTGAAGGTGAAACTAAAGACACAACGCTACGAAAACACAGTGCTGAATCGCACTTTTCGGAAAAATTTACAAATGACACTACGTGTGCACCTATTGTACGACAACGACATCGATCGATAGCTCAACTAGGCTCGCTTATCGAATCACGAATAAAGTTGCCAAGCACAAAATCTTTAGACCAAGGTAAAAAACTTAACTTAAAACACAACAACGAAGAAGACTTTTTCTACGAGATAATTAAAGATATCGCGAACAATTTGAATCTGAAAACACTTAGTTATAATATACTCGTTAATATTGGCATTCTAACTAACGCCGATCGATGCTCATTATTTTTGGTCGAGGGACCGAAAAATCGCCGGAGTTTGGTATCAGAATTATTTGACGTCCATCCAATACGACTTCGTACGACGACTGATCAAAATGGCTTCGAGATTAGAGTTCCGTGGGGCAAAGGAATTGTTGGATATGCTGCAGAGACGGGCCAGACTGTAAACATACAGGATGCTTATGCGGTAAGCGAAATAGATTTTTATTTCTATTTAATTATAATTTTCTTTGTGGCGTCTCGTTTGCAGCTAACTGTTTTGACGCCATTGTCACTGCGCAATACCTGTTGTATTAATATATATTGGCATTAAATATCCACGCGATATATCCTATCGAGTATATTATCGAGTATTCAGTTTGGGTTCAAAGTGAAGACTGACGGGTTTGCTTTAATTAATACGCGTCAATGAATTGAAAAGTACAATGGGATTTTTAGGCAGACGAAAATGTTGCTAAGCACGATTAATTTCGTTTCGTTTGTCTATTCTTTAGTGTGCGTGCGAGGATCTTGCCTAAATCTTCATAACTAGAGCTAGAGGAAGTTAGAACTACTTGTAGATGTGAATTGTATCCCATATAACAAATGGTTTTCGAGTGTGTATTTTAATAAGTTCGCATATGCAAAATAACTTAGTCTTCTTAGACCAGTGAAAGATGTACAAGTTAAATTTCACACATTAACGATAACAACTAAAGCCACTTTAAAGGTTTTTATGACACATTGTTCGTACCGAAAGTAAGGTCATAACGATGGCTTTATTTAATATTGTTAGTCAACAGCACGTCTCGTCAGAGACACAAGTTGCACGAAAATGCGACAGAGGTTAAAGGTTAATACAAAGCCAAAAATAGGATTATTGCAGTGGAATGTAACTGTAATATTAATAAACAATAAGCACAACGCCACGAGCAATTTTAGCCATTAACCAACGTCATGTTGTTCAAAGCGCTATTCATACAACGACATGAATATTCGCAACATGAAATTACATTTTGAATCTGTTCTTAAAATTTCTTTGTTTTCCAATCTTTATGTTTGTTTTTTTACCTAGGTATACGCTGCTTACGCACATATTGTTGCAACACGTATTTCGGTATTTGTTTGTTTACCTCTTTTATTTTAAACAGAAAACTGACTGTGATTAATTTCTTATATCTATGAGAACATTATTCAATAAGATAACATGCCAAAAACATTCATTTGCACACTTTATAACTACTCATGCAGTATGTTCATTATCGTTATTGCTATTGAGTATTGTGGTCGGCGGACCATAAGATTCTATAAAAATTCTAGAAATTCGTCGAGAAAAGTTGAACTGATCGCCTTGATACCAGAATTCATAAAATCAGTTATCAGGGTTGCTGGAACTATAAATGACAAATGGGACGGCTATAACTTCAGCCGGCTAACTACAGTGACGTGCTGAGCTAGGGACGAGAACTTGTTGTGGGCCCCTGCCATCATGGGCCCCTAAAATGAAAACATTGGAAAAGATAAAAAATATATAGATTTTAATTTTGAAAATCAAGATTAATTAAGATATTACAATTTATATTTTAAAAATCTAAATTTACGAAAATATTTCCGAAAAATTTAACATAAATTTTACATTTAACATTTTAAATTTGTTTACTCCCCACCCCAATCTTGATCCATCCGTCACTGGGCCTGAGCCTCATCAGACGATGCTCATTCGTCGTCGTTTTCAAGACCTCAGCACGTCCCTGGCTAACTATATACCATGGAAAGCTTATTCTAAGTAATTCATGCAATCGTCATTTTCTTAGCTAAAGTAAAGATTTCTTAAAAATCTGAGCGGAACAACCTAAAATATATGAAGTCATAGTTGTTTTTCCAATTATACTAGTTTCGAAGAAAACCAGTTCAATTGGCAATTGTTCATAACTTCATACAATTTAATACACAAATTCCAACATTATTCTTGCAACCATTTGTTACAACGTCAACGGCTTTCTTATTAAACCATAAATTTAAATACAAGGATGCGTCTGTTGTACTCTTCAGGCATATTGGCAAAGGGAACGAGGTGTAGCGCTCCTGCTCTATATCAGCTCAGACGTTAATCGCATTTTGTACGAATGTTCGACCACTAAACTATACATAGTTCTGAAGCAATCTATATTTGTTACTTGATATAAATTGAACAAAATTGTATCCTGTTGCGTGACGTCATATATATTTATCTCGCAATGCAGTCTACACACATGAAATTGCCACGTTCTAAATTCTAATTACAACCTGACTAATTATTGTTTACCTATAATTACATGTACGATTGGGTGAGTACCTGCTATGGGTGCTGATTATATAAATTTGCCTACGTGGTTAACGCTGGGCGTTTTGAGGCGTCTTCAAAGACGATCAGATTTCGGAAACACATTTTAGTACGAGCAATTAAGACCATTTGTTAATTCGTTCGTGACATTTTCCCGCTTGACCTCTGACTCCAATATAGTTGCTCATTTTATTGCCGATGAAAATTTTTTGAGTGTGCCTTGAAACATTTTCTCATAATACATATCAGGCCCCAACTTTTTGTATGCACTGTAAACAATGAAATTTACGAATGCAATAAAACATATTGCATTTTGTGTATTGCAAAAAAATCGCGCCATGAAACATTTTCTCATAATATACACATCAGGCCTCAACTTTTGTATGTAACAATGAAATTTACGTCCTACTGCATTGTCATCTGCAGATTTGTATCGTTTATTATAATCTTAATTCCCCCATTATAAATGTTTTATATCACTGGAAATGTCTACTATACTGTATAAGTTTTCTTTTGACTTCAACGATTATTGGCTGTGCCAAGGGAAAGGTCAACTATATAGCCTAGTGCTACACAGCTGAATAACAGAAAAGTGTTTTGTACAAGTGAATAACAGAAAAGTGTTTTATAGAAAGAAAAACGTGATGAATCTCATGCAAGTGCAAACACACGCAGCGAAGAGCGCCTGTTTTGACATGGGTGTTCCGTAACGTTTCCGAAACCAATTCGAGAAACATTTCACAAAATTGTCACTGTTTACTTTTCATGTTAAATCAGCCTGCCGTATATATGTCCGCGGTAAATGTACAAATTTCACGGACAAATTAAAAATATCTATAACCGGTGACGTGCAGTTACTCAGACTCAGTTGAGGCATTTCATATATGCCATTAATGCACATATTTTTCAGTGGCTTAGCAAAACACTTATTCAATTCACAAATCCTGTAGTTTTCAACATCGTGGCCCATGTCGGTATTTTGACAACAAACACATGCAGCTGCAGAGTATAAATACAGTCATGCCAATTATTCATGCATGGACGATGCGGAATTGAAGTGAATATTTTTTAACTCACATATGTTTATCACATGAAAAGTGTTATGATTTCAGTTGACTACTATGAAACAGTAATTATCAAATTGACAAATAAATTACTTCACAGAAAGAAAGTTCGCATGCTTCCCCCAATTGATAGGGAGTTAGGTAAATGACATGAAGATTGGAGTCATTTATGATTACATTTTTGAGTGACCATGAATTTCAATTCATAAATACTCATTTCGAAATTAACAAACAAAAGTAGTCAAATATACATGCATAATTATCAAATTTAAAAATCACAAATAAAAACTCATTTGCTACTTTGGGTCGTCCACTAGACCACTACATACATGCATGTTCTGTCCTTTCATCTGATCTGTCTCAAGGAGTCAAGCTACGTTTACACCCTGCGATTAATCGTGTACGATTCGTTTTCTGGCGTTTTATATCATTGAGTAAACACGCGTAAGCTCTATGGCTGGCTACATTTGAAATTTCTTTATAACGCAACGGCAATGAATTATGGCGCCAGCACTCATTTTAATACGCCAGAATACGAATCGTAGCGTGTAAACGTAGCTTAAGTGAACTTTTGTCGCTGTCTTTTATGACATTTAGGCGAACAGCCATTCTTAGTTCTGGCTATTTTATATCATGGATGTCAGCCTAAATGCCAATTACTATTCTCTGTCTTCTTCAGATGATCTGAGAATAGATTAAGGAACAGATATTTTCAATACAAGTTTGGGATGAATTCCAATCATGGATGAATCCATGCAATCTTCAACATTATTAACTTGTGCATAGGGAAATTGAATACAGCTCGTCTGGTTGAAATATTGACCGCTGACAGTTTAAAATCAATCCATTCCGCTTATCGCAAAAAAACACTGAAACGCGTACCAATCTGAAATCGGCAACATTTTCTCACGACGAATTTAATCTAAACAACAATTTACAATTCATAATGATCAATATTATTATATCTGAACGAAAACACTTGTAAAAAGCACGGTATTTACACAAAGAAGCCTGACGCTTGCATAGAAGACCTACTCAATAATAATAACAACGAGGATAAGGTTGAAGGCATTTCGTGTTCAAAAGACGAAGACATAGATGATGCAGGCAAGGTATTATCGCAATGCCAAGGGAGGTTTTCAAGGAGATTCTCAGAGCCTGTTGCAAGCAGCAAGGATCTTCGAAAGGACTTCCGACTGAGGAGGAATCATTCATTGCAAAGTCAAATACATGCAACTATTCGTGAAGATGAAACTAAAGACACAACGCTACGAAAACACAGTGCTGAATCGCACTTTTCGGACAAATTTACAAATGACACTACGTGTGCACCTATTGTACGACAACGACATCGATCGATAGCTCAACTAGGCTCGCTTATCGAATCACGAATAAAGTTGCCAAGCACAAAATCTTTAGACCAAGGTAAAAAACTTAACTTAAAACACAACAACGAAGAAGACTTTTTCTACGAGATAAAGTATTATACTTGTGGCTTAAAAGGTTGTTCGTATGATAAGATAACGGTTTATTGCAAGCGTTAAAAGATCAACAGGATTTTCAGAATTTGCTGCATGCCTATAATTAGTTATTCGCTCCATCAGATTTATTCGACATTGCTATACATTCTACAAATAAAAATAACATGAAAGTTTAAATAATTTTTGTCATTTTTAAGCAGCTTCATGCTGTGAAACACAGCATACTTAACTGCGACTCTCAGAGATAAAGCTTTCCAAAAATGTGGCACGTGTAGACAACTGGACTCATTATTTTTTCATTCAAATTAGCATATATTGTTACATGGAACTGCGCGTTTTGAATAAATTCGTTACAGCCAATTATGTAGGCTGTGCAAAAGATCTTTCAACATTCCTATATTAGCTGACTCGTCCGCAGTCGCTCATCCTGCTGAATAAGCGTCCCAAAGGATCATTGCGCTATATTTTTCAGAACGGTCTCGAGGATCTATGGAAAATGCTTGTCATCACCACTATTGAGTATTCAGTACACCCCTGTAGCAATTGCATTTAAAAAAATATTTGAAGAGGCCGATGAAACTGAAAACAAGCAGTTTTATGCCTACTGGTTACTGGTAGAGGCGACGCATATGTCATCGCCAAATTGCAACAACTGAAGGATTCGCAGGGATGGCAATAGTGTAAATCGTCTGGGGAGTTCTGGTCTCGTAAGAAAGAATCTGGATAAATAGTTTTCGAAGAATTCAACATTTGGTTTTTGTTAAGTATACTTCCATTTGGACAGAATCAAATGACTGAGCACCAAATTGAACGGCGCGACCGCATGACTTCATTATTTAAGAGGTTCTGTAAGATACAAACACAATCCTCGTTTTATTCCAGTTTACGAATTCACAGATTTAGTAGTATATCGCTCTTTTGTTTCCTTCATTTCGGCAGGGGCGGAGCTAGTCAGCTACGGGGTGGAACACCCATGCACCTAGTCGTCAGGTTGTCGTTAAATCATTGTACTCCAGGCAACAAATTGTTTTCCCAGTTGGCCAATAGGAAGGAAAAAACTTAATAAATTGAGTGAAACTGATTAAAAACCAGTAATTATAGCTCAAACTTGAAAAAAATTACGGATACAATATGGACAAACTAACCAAGGGCCAAGTGCTACGTCAGAATTCTAATTACGGAAATTTTCTTATGTTTAGGTCCCCCGTCTCCGCCCGCCAAGAATTTTGGGGGGAAATATTAATTAGGGAGAAACGTTTTTTAATATACAATGGAAATAACTCTTACAAAATTTCACTTACACACATTAGAATAGTGCTAGCGCCGCCCCTCCTTTTGGGCCTTAATATAGGCTAGGTACAAGATCCAATTTATCCTAAGTGGAACTGTATCTGTTTTCGCGTGTTATCACTTGTATATCAGCAATTTGAGAATGTATTAGGCCCGGTTTAGACGCCGTGCTTTTCATGAGCCGTACTTAATAATTTGCGCTGCTTCACTTTGAAACCTGGGGCGAATGACATTTCATAATAAGAAAAAAGGGTTTATCACATACAATCTTGGCATTTATGAGCGTCTACACTACTACAGGTTTGCGGTTATTAAAAATTTCAATTGCTTTTTGAGAAGCCTTATTACTACAAACATAGCATAACGTCTGGATATAAGTGTGGAAAAACGAGACCTATAGGTTTAGGGCGAGTTTTTCCACGTTATTCGAGTTCTCCCAAACTACTACAAGTGTTTCTATAACTGTATGGGTCATACATAATAAATGTTTTATATTTAATTCATAATATAACTAAAAAAAGATTTGTAGTAGACTCGATATATTTACAAATTCTCATTGCGTAATAATGCCGACCTTTGCTCCATCAATTTACTGCAAGAAACCCTTTTTGCCTTTATCAACAAATATCGCTATAAGCCTAATTTCGCAACTTTATGCAAAGAGTCTAACGAAAGGTGTATCCTTTGCTACAAATTGACGTATATAAAGAAAAGAAAGGGAAATTCTACCGCGATTTTTGCCGATAAAGCGGTATTAAATCACTACAGAAAAAATAGAACAACAGAAATACAAAACAAGCCAGAAGCGGAAGTGGGAAGGTTTTTGTATTTTGACTGTATTAAACAATTTTTAATTTGCATTAAAATTGTTTTGTTTACGATTGTAAGTTTAGGCGGGAAATTTCCCGTGTAGAAACACGCTTCTCGACCAATCAACGCACGCGTACTATAAATGTTCTATTTTATCATAATTTATGCATTTGGTACGGCTCATGTAAAGCACGGCAGTATAAATCAACATGTGCTTCAGCCGTGTAGCACGCCTGAACCAGGCGAACTTATTAATTTAGCCGTGCTTAATATTAAGTGCAGTGCTTAATTGATTTAGACGCCGTGCTTCTCATGTGCTTAATTCATTGTATTAAGTTCGGCTCATGAAAAGTACGGCGTCTAAACCGGGCCTTAGCCCACTCGAAACGAGTGAAGTTAATTATCATATCAATTTTAAAATACACGTGCATGTTCACAAAACTTGACGTCAATTCATACATGAATACAAACCGAGACTTTAGGATATCATTCTTCCTTCTCATGTGGGTGAGAGCAAGCAAATGCCAAAAAGCTGGAATATTTGGTTTAACACACACGGTTTATTTTGAAAACCTACAACTACTTTTTGTGTTTATTGATTTAATTAGAGCGTGAGTTGGACAGTGGGAGTGTAGGATATACCGTGTACTGTCTGTACATGCATGCATGCATGACTCAGTGACTGCAGTTACATTAGGGACTGGTCATAAAGTAACTGCTAGGGTGGGCTGGAGGTAAATCACAAATTTTGCCAATAAGTTTGGTGACCCATCTTAGGATGTAGATAAAAATTTCAAAGCCCATCTAATCCTACCAAATTTATTTCATGACCCACCCACCCAATCAAAATTGGGAAAATACAATTTTATAATAAAAAAAACTTGCAGGTATGAACATTGTAAATATACACCGGCACTGTATTAACATACATAATTCCACCAAGTTTGACCAACAAATTCATCACTAATTACGATATTGAGCTGCTCTCCAGTTGGTTGTATTTGCTGTGATTCGACCACTTCTTGTTGTTGTATAAAACAAAGTACTGGCTTCAATAGCGTCATTTGCATTTGATAATTTGGATAGTTTTGTTCACTTTTATTATTAATATCTTTATGTAATATATAATTAACATGGGTTTTGTTTGGTGGCCCAACTGGAGATACCAATAAATTTGCGGCCCATCGAAACTGCCCAAAGATTTTCCATGGCCCATCCCAAATCACTCCAGCCCACCCTAGCAGTTACTTTATGACCGGTCCCTTACTTGGTCAAGTTGGAAATATAGGGATGTCCGTTGTAGTTGTTTTGTTTCGAAGTGCTAGCAAATTATAAAAATTGTAAAAATATCGGATTCTTAGTGTTACTTCACTTCCACTCTTAAAGACATTACTTTAGATATAATATTTTTTAAGCTTATTAATAATTTCTAAGCGCAGCGGAAATAGAATGAGGACCGTGCCACATGTTAAACAGTTTATAATATACATGAAAAATTACTCAATTCTGATTGGCCAAGAGCTGTGCAATTATTTTGAAATTGCACATTGTGCAACTACATTGCGGCAGATAGTGGCAATGTAAATTTTCACTTTTTTAACGACTTTTTGCACACTTTCAATGGAAAATCGTACGTAAATATAACAATTTAAGTACAAGGAGCACATAGACTGAAAAGGTTCGCTAACAAGCAATGAAAACAATGCTTAAATGGCGTAGGTGAGTGCACAAGTGTTATCGAAGTGTGTAAACTTTTCATGTATATTATTAACAAGTAATAGTATGGTTTCTCGTGCAATTTGGAAAAAACATTATTGTGGTTATATATTCTACCGATTTTTCATTACGATTACGTAGTTCTGTCAATCGTACTAACTGAGTGAGGTATATATGAAATGGCACTTAATTTATTAAATATTTCGGTTTGTTGATCGTCATACAAATTTAAAATGCAAAAACTCATCTGAGAAAATATGCGATTCGATCATCATTTCTCGGTGTGGAAGTTACGCTATCGCCGCCATGTTGGATTTTGCAAAGGATTTTGGTCACACATGGCGAAAATCTATTTGTCCTTTTTATCCCTTGATCTGCTTTAACTGATCGCGGAAATCGGTTCAAGGACTCTTGCCACCTGCTTGGATATTTGCCTTGCACTGCATGTTCACTCGTTTCTCAGTATTGACATTGATCTACTGTAGCTACATATTTAACGTGTTGACAGAAAAATATGTCATTTCAGTTTATGTACAAATTGATGGTTTTCGCTGCCTTATATGAGGCAGATGTTTTGCAAAGATATCGTGATATTAATATGAACCTGAGTTTAACTCTTTTCCCATGCGCATTTTTTTCTTAATAACCGTGAACCTTCGAATACAAACCACCCATGCACCAATTTACTATACAACCCATTCCATATACATGAGCTACCTGAGTATAAGCCCATGGGTTAATACTCTGATACGAAAAATATGTTAATTCCCATGTTTATACAAAACAAGTGTAACTCCAGGGATCGATAACATTTTTATATGTATCATATTTATCATATATGATAAATATAAAAATGTTATCGATCTTTTGTTAATACTCAGTGGTTCTAAAAATCCTATGTTTATGACCTTCTTGAATACACAGAAATGTAGGAAAACTATATGACTGTGTTCTGAACATATCTTCTTTCTGCACTTGACTAATGAATTTAATTAACGTGTTGCTGTTTATAGATTTTGAATGTGAAATGTTTTTTCACGACGCTTCATAAAACAAACACGCATGAGAACAAACACGCAAACAACAAAAAAAAACAATCGTGTAGAAGCCCCTTCTTCCCTAATACAAAGCACTCATATACAGCTATTTCAATTAAGGTTGTCCCCCGAGCAAAGCGGAAAAGTCGAATACGAGCGCGAAAGGCTGCTGGGAATCGCTACTAAATTAATGAATTTATTAACGATTCCCAGCAGCCTTTCGCGCTCGTATTCGACTTTTCCGCTTTGCTCGGGGGGCAACCTTAATTGAAATAGCTGTATACAATGCATATACTGATATACAAGCCGTACACTTACCATCGAATGTAAGTCCATGCACGCATTTGGATGTTTATGAGGTAACCTTAATAAGGCATATGGGTTTCAATTATTGAAGAATTGCCGTAACCGAGTACGCATATGGTAAGTTGTGACGAAAACATCAGTAAAAATACCAGCACAATACCAGCAACCTAGCTTGAAAATTGGTAATCATTGATTTGGTGATTGACATGTGTAGCCTGGGGAGGATAGAAATATTTCAGGGTGTCGCAATAGGAAATTGCGGCCGCAAATTGAATCCTGAGATCAGTCAACAAATCTTAACTGGGCACGCGTAGGTTGTACATGCTGACGTATATATTGAAATATCAATGAGGCGAACGTATGATTATTTCAAGATATAATCGCCAAAGGTTTTGCGGGTAACAATTTGAGGTAAATAAGTGGGTAAAGGTCTTAAAGCAATATAACGTGACTGAAGCATAATTAAAAACACTTTAAATCCACAATTTAAGCCTTATTTTGTTATAGATAAGTAAAAGTAATTAAGAAAAGCAAAACAAAAAGTGTGGGAAAAGTCTAAACTGAGCCTACGTTGCCATGTAATGAATGCTCAATGGCAGGACCATATGTTAAAATTTCATTTTGAAACTTTTGTTACACTGAAGCACTTCGCTTTTATCGAGCTCATCACTCAAACAGATCTCATCTAAAATGTACCATGCATGTGCAGCCGTTACTTTTAGTATCGTGCACAAATAAAATTCACATAAAACATGTTACGAGAGTGTAGGTACTACTTAATTGGCACTCGCAATAGTATTGCTCATTTCGTGTAATACAGCTATTTCAACTTGGTTGTCACAAGCAATAGTCAAATGTATACGATCCGAGCGCCAAAAGTATAATGAGAACAAGATATTTTATGGGGTGAAACGTGAAAGTATTAAAAATCATATATATATATATATATATATATATATATATATATATATATATATATATATATATATATATATATATATATATATATATATATATATATATACCCCTGGGAATTGCCAAAACAAAAAGGAGCTTACATATATGACATATATGTCCATAGGCTACCTATATACAGCTATAAAAATTAAAATTTGGTATACCCATCTTACTGTTCACGCTTGGAATGTGCACTTAAAATTAACTATGACAACCTTAACTGAATGATATATCATAGTGTATCAGGATATCATAGTGTATCTTCTAGATATGTTTTGTAGAAGGAAATTTCGTGCACCGGAATCGCAGGTTCGATTCGTGCCAGAGGGCCTATAGTTGCATTTTTGCAACTGCTTCTAGTTGTAGGTCTACTGATAAACGTATAAAATTCACACTCGAAATTTCCATCTGCAAAACCCTTGTGCAATTCAGTATATCGAGTGCAGATGCCCGAAATCCTGATATCTTATAGATAACAAACAGTTTTCAACGCCAATGCATGCATTGCATCATCAAGATAATTATGCTTATAGATAACAATCAGTTTTCAACGCCAATGCATGCATCAACAAGATAATTATGCAATTTACGATTAGTCTTCGCCGCAGGCTCCATGAATTACAATTGGTAATTCGCAGGCCAATTTGGAATCAACTTATTTGATAAATTGTCTCATAATATGTATGGTGTTAAGCAATGAACTCATGCCGCACACATGCATTGACATCTTTGTAATTAAGTACGCACGTGATAGTGGTGGATCGCACGTGATAGCGGTGACAGCTGTGACGTTTCTCTGTAAAATATCATGGAAAAATTCGATAGTTTTTTCGAAAGCCTTAACATTTCGGAATCATCTTTGCAGAATATAAAAAAGAAAACAACTTGATACAAACACCAGTCTATACATTCGACATTCGTAATACCATACCTGTTCTATACGTATACATCACTGTTATTACGCCTTCCTTGCATTGAAAACACTCAAATTTCAAGAAAAACGCGCTCGAATTATCAATATGTCATGCAAAAAAAAGTTGTTTTGAGAAACGTTGGAATTTTTGAAGTTCATATATATTAATAAAAATATGTCAGTAGATGGTCGACAGTTCCTCGCGGAAGCATCGCCAATAGCCGACCGTAGAAAATAGCAGAAAATTACCATATATTCAGCTCAGTTGAGTGTTGTTCATTTATTTGCGAATACTCATGAACCGACGGTTTCTCGTATAATGTGTATTCTTAAGTAAATTATTTGAACCAGAGTCAGTGTCAGTGATTCTTAGCAACAAGGGGCGGAAAAGAACGCAACAATTGCGAATTTTACATTGAGTAATCCGCCGAACTATTTGCCGAATTATACGACGTATGTTGCCTAGTTGTTTTACAACAACATATTTCTTATTTAGTCTGCTTGTCTCTCTACAGGATTCAAGATTCAACCAGGACGTTGATAAACAGACTGGTTATCGAACCAAGAGCCTGTTGTGTACACCAATCAAAAATAGCGATGGCGAGGTATGGAGATATCTTTGTAATATTAGCTAATAGCTGTGCTTGGTTCGATAGTCATCCCCTTTGTTTGTGTGCACATGCAGGAAACTAAAACTTAACTACTGTTTTTAAGCTCGATACTGTCAATGTGGTTCATTGTAGTTTGGTATAGTTTCATTGCACTCAAGGAAATTTAGGAAGTATGTATTCCAGCAGCCATGCATCAGAATATTTTCACGCATTTTAAAGCATGCAAATACGATATATGACCATAAAGTATGACGTAATCTACTGTTTCACCTAAAGCGGAGACTTGACCAGAAACAGTTTTAAATTTTACACTTTTAGTACAATGGCAAAAACTATGAACTGCCGTTATAAACAAAGTCAAAAACAGAGACGGAGAAAATCAAATTGAAATTTGGATACGATGTCAGTGGAATACCCGTACTAGATTAAGCATTGCTTAAGTTCGCTGTATCCAGTACGCGGAGAAAATAAAGCCCCAGAGGCTGAAAAATTTAAACAATGACATTTCCGGGGGTAAACCCCCAGAGTCCCCTACAAAGTCATACCTTTCCAGTTTACTACCTCCTAGTTACACCACGAGCAGTCCCTCGGGAGAAAGGAGGGACTGTCGACAACACGTCAAGAAACGAAATACGCGTTGCCCACACAACGCAAAATTCCCATTGGCCTGTCAATCAAATCTGATATGTAGTAATTATGCTATAAATAATTTCCAGATTGAATGTTGATTTTATAAATAAACATGACATTAACGGTTCCTATTGGATAGATTTAATTGGATATAAGTAATGTTTATGCCAAAGCGGAGCCAACTTCACAAGAGCGAAAAGTGGGCGTATTTCGTTTTTTGATGTGTTGTCGGCAGTCCCTCCTTCCCCCTCGCACGCCCGGGAAGCTAAAACCGTGGAAAGGAGGGACCGCTCGCAGTCTACCTCCTAGTTAATTCAATTTTTTTATGGCTTTTCCACTGACAACTATTCTTGAAAAAGGCCATGCTTAGCTGGTCTCGACAGTTTACCAGACCTTATGGTGCTTCATGCGGTCATTTGAGCATCAGAAACGTAAACATTTCTCAGGTCCCCTCCCTCGCCCCCTATTTTCTTCACAAGACACTTATGTGCTGGGGCGGTGAAGCAAGGATGGTTTATAATAGCTTTATTGGCATGACCCTAAATTACAGATGAAAGTGGTAATGAAAGTGATGAAGGAATGAAAGTGCTGCGAGTCAAGCCCCCTGAAAGAGATTAGACTGGGAGAATATTCTTCCCTGTTTCAAATGCAAAGTAATTGATTATACATATTGAATATACATGATTCCCCTTACATGGTTTGAAACCGTTGTTGTGGGTGGCTAAGATTTTTGAACCGGTGACGAATTTGAAGCTCAAGTCTTCCCCCCAGAACGCAGGAAATGCTATTTAAGAGATTTCTAGATCTAAACTTAAAAAACTGAGAAAACGTGTCCACGGAATCGATCGACGCGAATTTGTCGAATAATCTGCCATATGTGCCAATTAATTTATTTAAAAAAAGAACACTGTAGTACACGTTCTTAGTGCATGCGGATGGTCTAATTTGCATGACTGTGTATTGAGAAGCTGTAAAACGTAAATTCCATTAGATTCCAAATGTATAAATATTTATCAAATGAAAGTAAATATTTCCCCTGCTAATATCCTGTCTTAATCTCTTCTCTTGTAAGGTTGTTGGTGTGGCTCAACTCATTAACAAAAATCCCGATGCTTCCGCGTTTACCAACGAAGATCAAGAGGTAATTAATATTATCCGGTTGATTCTCGAAGTACCTGTCCCGAATTCTCCAGAAATATGATTAAATTTATAACAAAAATGTTTTAGGAGATTAATATCCAAGCCAGTGCTCTTCATGTATAAATTATACAGTCATAATTTAAAGTTTCCTGTAACATTACTAGGCGATGTTTGGGCGCTTTCCATTTAATGGCCTGACCGGTCAGACCCGAATTCTCTTCTCTGTATCAATGGAAAGGTCTGGTCTATGTTTCTCAAATACAGTGGCGGAAATCTCGGTGGGGCGCCCCCCCCCCCC